GCTGTTAAGGAGCATTTGCTGATTACCAAGTAGATTTGTTCACCGTTTTTTTGGTAGGAATGAAGAACTTAGTATGTAAACGGCTACCTTTGCGTACATTAAGCTCATTTTTTAATGGCATCTTTTCAAAATCTTAAATGAACATTAGTTTGAACGGAAACTTTCAATATTTGCTTTAAATTCAGAGCTCACAGATGTTTCTTTTTATTCTGCACTTTGCTGTTGATTTGTAAACTTTATTTTGATTTCAAATCGACTGGTCGGGGTAATCAAAGCACTATTTTTTTTATAATTTTTAAGGTATACTTATTCTGCTTTTGCAAAACTTGACGCCACAAGGTGTGGGTAAGGGGGAGCATCGACGTCCCCACGTGTATCGTTACTTTTATCCTATTCTTATATGCTCCTTCCCCAGATCGATAAATTTAGAAATGAGATTAGAAGGGAATCGAGGGACCAGTAGTTAAGCGTGTTTTTTACAATGCTTTTATATTCTGTCATTTCCCCTCTGTTTACCACTGCGCAAAACGTTGTGGATATGACGACTGTTGGTTAATTTAGTTTAAACTTGTGAGCAAGTTGCAGATAAGTGTGAGTCGCAGTACTACTTTCTGGTACTGTTTATTTTTAGGTTTTTGGCAGCAACAGGAGCAACAACTGTCACTGCTTTTAAGTCGAGCTGTTAGACATTTTCCCTCATTTGCAGATTGACTTGCAATAGTTTTTTCTATTGTTTTTGCCAGTTTGAATTATTTTTATTTTCAAAGTTGGCCAAATACCAAGCATTTATAATTTTTAAATCTCTTATTAAGTTAATGTTAATTCTGCTCGCATCATGACGCTTGCAATGTCCTAAAGGCTTACGGGAGTTTGCAGGATTGAGGAAAAGAGCTTTAGAAACCACAGATTCTGTGGTTTGAAATCGTACGGTGCTTTGCACCTAGCTCTAGTAGAAGCAGGAAAAAATTGACTAAGGAAAAGTATTTTTTGGACAAATGTTAATTTTCTGTAAGTATATTGAAGGACATTAGGCTTAATTCATTGGTAGAGCCATCTATTTTACATTTAGCAGACATCTCATTTTCAGCTCCTTATCACAACCAAGTCGTCTTCAGTTTAGTAGGTTTTATAAAATTCTTTAAAAGTTTTTGTTCTATCGTCTTCTTTGCCAATACTAGTTTGTTTTATGACTGATAAGGGTTTTTTTCGCTGCTCTTGAAATTCAACAGATTTTAGTTGAGTGTAAGGCTCTATTGGAGCCGCTTAACTTAAAATAGCAAATCTGCCATTAGGTTGGCCAGCTGCAAAGTTCTTATCTTCTATTACCTTTTGTGAATTTGTAGGAAAATTAGTTTTTCGCAGTCTGGTGCTCTAGATGAGGAAGAATTAACGTCTCCTTCCAAAAAGGCATTGGCTAAAAGAAGATTAGTTCCAGGTATGCTAGTTTAGAAAGGAGGTATTTATGCTTTATCGATTTTCAATCTTTAATTTTTTTTTACTTTGCGAAAAGCATGCTTTTTTACCAGAATAAATTAATGTTTCTTAGGATTTACCGTCTTTTCACGCTGGAATGTAATTAAGCATTTGGCTGCTTAAAATGAATTGTGTTTTTGTTTGAAAGCAGTTTGTTGTTCTGTTAATTAGAGTAAAAAGTTATTGTTTTGGTATTACTGAAGCGTTTAATTGGAAGAACGTTTTAGCAAGCGTGAGTGAGAGGCTAGTGGTAGATGAACAAGCTTCATCATGTGGCCGGTTAAGCGAGACTTCAACACGCAGCTTCAGTGGCAAACGACCAATTAGGTTTAGAACAGAATGCAGCCAAGAGGAGTATGCTGTGTCTACCTTATTTACTTTATTTACGCAGCTGTATAGCGAAAATGAATTAGTTTGTCATTCTAGGCAAAGTCAGAAAAATCACGAAGAAGTGGTTGGATGCGACCATCTGGAAAAGTGCAGAACGTACACTTCTGATGAACTTCATCTCATGTCCGAAGAAGATCAGATACGCTTGGTTTGCTTTGAAAATCCTTTCACGCTATTCCGATCGCTTTCTTGCTTTAAAATGACGTGGAAAGTCCTTTGTCACTTTGATACATGCAGAAGTTTAGGCTGTAGAAAAAAGTATGTTTGAAAGGACTTCATTTAACTGGACTAACGAAAATTGGGACGATTGTCCTTCTCAGGTTTGTATACTGCTCGCACTGTTAACTTTCTTTTTTTCATGTTGTAAAGTTTTATTTTACCAGTGCCACTTGATTACTGCTTATTTAAGTCGTTTTTAGTGTAAGGTACCAAAAATAGCAGACGACTTTGGAAATTTTGAGGTCGCTTCATCTTCAAAGCAGAGTGCAAGTGACGATTATGTAAGTAAAAACTGTTGTTGAAATCGTTCATTTGGTAATTCGGCGTCTGAGTTTTTTTAGCGAGTGGAGCCGTATCAATAACTTCAGGAAATAAGGTTGTTGAGTGTTGGGTCATCAGGATTTGTCAATTTGAGTGCCAAGGGAGATTTAGCAAATTGAAAGAAGAAATTATTTACAGAAGAGAGACTTTAATTATCTTGGGCGCTTCTTTTACTTCTTGGAACTTTGTTTTAAACTATTTGGCAGTGTCAAGCAAGACGTTAGAAATGAATATTTGTTCTAATAGTAAGTTGCAGTGAGAAAAAAACTGGCCGCATTTTAAAAATTGCGCTAGTGGGGGAAAGTGCCAAATTTGGAAGAAATGAACGACTTTAGGGATTCGACATTTTATGTGAAAAAAATTTTTGAATAGCTGTTACATTTTGATGGGGATCCATTAGTTTTATTTGAAAAAGATTTGGCTGAACGTCAAAAAAGTTGGTATTTTGTTGCCGAAAACGAGGATCAGAAGGTTATTTTTGGTTTTAACTTTTTTTTTGGGTCTTGGCAAGTAAAGAAGTATTGGTTCTTTTACAAACAGGCAGGAATTTTTTTGGAGGCGAAAAGAAAATTTGATTGACTGTAAGAAGATTGTCACCTGAACTTTGTTGAATTTGCCTCTTTAGTTCTTTTTTTTTTTTTTAAAGAAACTGACAGTTTTTGGAGTGATATTGTTTCAGCCAAAAGAGATTCACTTGAGACATCTTTTTAGCAGCTAGTTGACTCTAAGTTTGTTCAATAAGACATTGTGCATTCTGCTAAATGCAATGAAGTTGTGGTTTTCTTGGCTACGAAGGTGCTTAAGGATATCAAAATTTAAAGTTGTTTTGCTAGTGGATCGGAGTTTTGAGTAAAATTATAGTGCTACCTACATTATTAACTTCTTGGCATACGGCAAAGGTGGTGGAGACGAGCGAAATGATGAAAAATTATTTTTGCATTATTCTTATTCTCGTCGCTACGTAACTATTAGTGTGATGTTGGTGGTCTTGCATACCGCCACGTGTGGGATGTGCATATTCACATGAAAACGAATGTGTTTTGATGTTCACATAATTTATTTGCTGGTTTTCTTTGCTGATATAGTGAATGTGGCTTGGTAGATGTTTTTTTCAACCTCTGCTTCCTTATCCTTTCTGTCTTGGTGATTTTGTACACTTCATTTCAAGGTCGTTTCAAATAAAGATGCTGAATGGAGCGAAGCAAATCTACAGACTTTGCTAAATAGTACTGCCTGTGACTCATCAACTATAGGTATCCTTTTCTCAGTCCTCAATTTTTTTTGGGTCTCTTTGTACTGGTTACTTTTTTTTTTGGAGGCCTTTGAGGTTCTCACTTGGAGCGAGGCAGTGGGTCTGGTAATGAATCAGTTTTACAGCAAAATTTGTTTTCAATTGGGAGGGCTCATTTTTCAACGTTGCAGAAAAGAGATTAACAAGTTTTTAAAAATCTTGTTAAGGTTGTTTTTTGATTTAATTGTCTGATTTCTCAAAGGTTATTAATATTAAGACTTTCTAGTGTTGTAAGCAGCTGTTTTTTTTTCTCAATTTTTTAATTCTTTTGAAACTTCTCTTATTTTAGGACTTGATTTAAAGGTGGTTGATACTCCACGGAATGCTGATCAAGAGTCATTAGCTAGTACTTCGTCGCTTTTTTTGGTAATTGATTTTTGAATTTAAAAGGTTTTAAAATACTGTTTCAGTCTTTATGGGACAAGGGACTTAAGAAGCTTGCTGCACTTAACATGCAAAACATAACTGGTGACGTAAGAGTTTATAGGTTGATAGCGGAAAGGAGAAGAGCAACTTTCGCACATTTTCTTACAGACCTGTCGGCCGCGAATGGAGAAAAGATGTTTGCCAAAGGCTAGGGTTGCGTATCTATTCGGGAACAGAGAGTGTTTACAAGTAATTTTCTCGCACCTTTCTATTATGGAAAAGTATTTTTAAGTTTATCGCTTTTGCTAATTACTTTGGCTTTTAATCATTAGATTGGCAGTGTATAAAATTAAGGGATGAGCCACTTCATCGAATAATTAATGTTCATGATGCTCCCAAACGTTGTGCTGATGTGAAGTCAGATGGCAATTGCTTGTTCCGTGCTTTAGCATTTAGCATTACTGGTGGCGAAGAAGATCAGCACGCTGAAATTAGGCGGAAGGTTGGTAATAAGTTATCATTAATACTTCGAGAAAGGATATGAGATATTTTATTGATTTATTTTACTTTATTTATTTTGTTATTGTTTACTCATTATTTATTTATTAGTTATTAATTATTATTATTATTATTATTATTATTATTATTATTGCCAGAAGTTTTTAAGGTGGTTGACTTTGAGAGGAAATTCTGCAATATCTTTCAAACATTGGGAGGCTTAACGGATAAAAAGTGGGAAGATCACGTTAAAGAAGTTTCCAAAGAGGGTTCCTGGGGCACAGATATCGAGTTAGTTTCGTGTGCCACAATGCTTGGAATTGAAATATGGACATACTTGGGAGATTCGTGGATTTGTTACAGGCCCCGTTTTCGATTCGATGCAGAAAACAGGCTAATTGGTCTATTTTACTTTTACTAAGTTGTGTTGGTCGTACTTAAAGTATCATTTTTCACTTTGTTATGACTTTTTTAGATAGATAATTTGAGCTATCTTGGTTATTTTACGCCCGTTGTGCAACCTGACGACTTAGTGAGCAGGGAAAGACTTGAAATTTGATAGTCCCCAGTGATTTCAGCTACAGAGGTTTTGTGATCTGAAGTAACAAAATTGCAATTAAAAGTCGCTTTTATTAGGGCCTGCTTTGAAATTAAAGCCATGTCGTTGATGCTATGAAAGGCAATGGTTTTAATAGTTCTTTGGTAACAATCAGGTTTTGAAATAGCTTTGTGGGCATTGAGTGATTAACGAACATCTATTTGGAGAAAAATTTTAGTTGGGTAAGCGCTCTTCGTATTGAAGCCTTGTCCAATTATTTAAATTCTTCAGAAAATCATCGCTCTCTTATTCGTGAAATGGAAATAGGTTTCCTTATTTGTTGTTTGCTAATTTCACCCATTTCCTCCTTTACTTGTTTTAAGAGCGCGAAGTGATTTAAAAGAAAACTAGAAATAACTTCAGAAATAGGTCTGATTATAGGAAGATCAATCTGTCAAATCCTCAGATATTTCCTTGCAAAAATATGTTCTCTGGTATTTGTTTAGGTGTAACATCAGCATGCTATAAGTTATGGTTAGACGAAAACTGTTCAATAGTCCCTTGCCTAATTTTTCTTCTATAAGCATTTGCATAGTAATTCTGGACTTTGAGGCATGCTCGCTTACTTATGGTTTTACATTATCTTGTAGAGCATTTTAGCATGGCTCCTTCAGTAGGAATTTTCATTGTAGTACATTTGTGTGAGGTGTGGCACTGGTTGGCACTGTGATCTTTCGTCTTTCCATTTTTTATTTTATTCATGTTTGGAAATATATACATATATTCTAATATCACTTTATGCTTGCTTTCAGAAATATCTTCTAAAAATTATTGTTTTGGAGAGACATGTGGAATCCACTTGTCTAACCAATTTCTTCATTTTAATCCAGTGCTAGAAATTTCGGTAGGTTTTTTTTTGCCAAATTTTTTTTCATATCTTTATTGCTTTCTGGTTTGCATTTTAAAAATCATTATTTGAGGGTGAGGACTCTCTGTCTGCCCGGCCTCAGAAGCAAAAGTTGTCGGTAAACGCAAACTACGATGTAAATTTTGAAACCATTATTTTTTAATTTTTATGAAGTTAAATTTTATTCTCTTCATGACACGCCTGGTTTCACAGTCAGTTTCATTAGAAGACGTTCAATTTTTCTGTTCGTTAACGACTGTTTTCGCTTTTTAGAAAGGTGGTATGGGACCTTCCTATCGGCTTTTGTCTATAGTGAGCCACATCGGTGGGACTAGTAATTTCGGTACCATAATTTCTTTTTTATCTAATATTATGACATGCGTTTCTTTCCATTTTGAACTTTGAGTACTTTGTTTGGGAACCTCAGCCAAGATAAAACAGCTTATTTCAGGCCATTATGTCTGTGACGTATGGAGTCGTTGCGGCGAAAGGTGGTTACATTGTGACGATGACACCATTTGTGAAGTTACTGAGGGGACTGTAAGAACAAGATGCATGTCCACTGGATACATATTCTTCTACATCGCATCGTAAGTGCAATACTACCCTCATTGGTCTCAATTATTGGTAACGCGTTTGGATCGGAATTAAACATTTTGAGGAAATTTCAGAGATTTGGTAGCGAGAGATCTAGTCGGTTAGACATCTGTGTGGTTCTTGTTACTGATTTTTCAACGTTGCGTCGAGTACTCACTGCAACAGTCCTAATATCTTCCATATCTTGTGGTATTTATACTGATGGCCACAGAGGAGTTTGATGCAGCACGTTAACTTCCCTAGCTATTATTCTGTTAAGTGGTCGGAGCCCATTAAAGTAATCGAACAGCTCGCCTTGTACAGGAGGCAAGTAGTTGGCGAGAGTTGTTGAATTCACTGGATAAATTTGAATTGACTTTGCTTTACTGGGCTCAGAAGGATTGAGTCTCCTAGTCTTCATTTTTTAGTGGTCATGTGACTCACGATTACTGTGTTTTCACAGTGGTTCTGTAAATTTCACCCCTATGTAAAGTTAATTGTAGTGTTGTGACCAGTGTTTTATTCAGAGCTTTATTGTATTTACTTTGCAAAAGAAAAACAATTCGTTACAGACTACATTCTTGGCATATTTTTCTTTCTGTATACAGTTGGCACTAGTGGAAATGAAAAGAATTAGTAGGGACAAGGTCTGCAATAAGCAGACCAGGTTGAAAGGTTGAAAAGACTGCCGTGAACCAAGTCCAAAGGAAGGTGCAGGGAAAGCAGTAGAGTTTACGAGATAAAGGAAGTGGACTCTTGCCACAGTTGCCGGATGAGGAACCAAAAGAGGTCATGGGATTGCCAATTTTGGCCCCACACCTTCTGTAAATTTTAGACACGGCACTTGAAAGTGATTTGCCATAGAAAGAGATCAGCATCCTGTCTCTTAAGATCACAACCATGCTGGCGGTAGAAATCTTAATTAACTTTACAATTATGCAACAATTTAAATGAAAAAGCGTGACTCTTGACGCGGCGCCTTACTTATCGGGAAAGCAGTTTATCCCGCAATGAACCAATTGCATCCCAGAACGACTCACCCCAAACCTGAAATCAGCAAAGGTTAAGTCGCGCAACAGCACTTTCAATACTAAGCATCAAAGCAGCTAGCAGTCCAAGGTGGAGTTTCTTCGCACTGCGTCTTGGAAGCAGAAGGCGCCTAATACATCTCTGCGAACAATGACGGCAGAAAATCGAGAAAGGCAAAACTGAAACAGGATAGTATTCACACACCCGTGCGCCTCCCGTGGTTCAGAGTTGTTCCGGGTAAAAGATGTTCTTGAACTACGAGAAGAGAGCACGGTTTTAGTATGCATGCAGATTGGAAAGTAAGTATGCGATGAGAAGGACAGGGTTAAGATCAAAAACCTTTCCATGTGGTGGGATACGGCCGCTGGAATGCGCATCAAGAACCTTCTGGTACCGCAGTTTACATGCAGCCTCGATTGTCTTCGCCATTGCTCCAGCAGATGGTTCCACATGAAATACGTAGCACATGAAGTTCTCTGATGATGTGTGCATTATAAATGCGCAGTGCCTAAACGACAGTTATTGCTTTGGACTCTCAATCGCAATTCACTGCACTTTCAAGAGTGCCTTGAGGAAAATTTTTGAAGTGATTAAAGCTGACTGGTAATTCCTATCATAGACCAATTTTTAGCCTGGACCTTGAATTAGTCTCTTTTCGGTCCTCTACTAAAAGATGTTCTTTAAATGGAACACTTGGCGA